AATAGAAAGAAAAACATAAATTATGATAGTAAAACTGCAAAATTAAGAAAAGAAAAATAATAAAAAACTTATGTTGACTAATATGCATGTGTGCAATACCCCTCCTCCTCGTAAATCAGAGAAAAAACGAAATCAGAAAGCTGCTCCTTTATGCTTGATTGACGGCAGCTTATAAGAAAACCACTGCTTCTTTCCAACACACAAGAGAAAATAAAGAATTTGTGCCTGCCTCAGCAATCCCCTGAAGATCTTCAAGGTTACAGAAGAAATATATTGAAGTTTTCTCTCTCAATAAACAGGAGGAAAATACCCCCTCCCACCCTTTTCTTTGACTGAACTTCAAAAATCAGTTGAATTTCCGAATACGATTCAAAATACAGTAGAGAACCGATTATCCGGAACGATCGGGACTATCGCTATTCCGGATAACTGATTTTTCCGGTTTTCTGAATCGCTACAAAAAGCCGTTTTTTTAGTGTTAAACCCAACTAAAAAAAAAAAAATTGGAAATAATCTTACAAATAAGAAAAAACGATGAGGTAATACAATAATGATTATTTCTGAAATGATGGTAAGGTAAACATCTTTCAAAAAAGAAGGAAAAATCCTAAAATCTTATGAGGAGAAAAAAATTTTTTTTAAAAAATTGCGGGAAAATGTATCGAATTTTGTTCCGGTTTTTTGGTTTTCCGATTTCCGGATAACGGGTTCTGTACTGTAATACGATACGAATACGATTTCCAATATATTCAAAATGGTGGGAAAAATCAAACAAAATTGATCCGGGTGTTTTGTACTGTACTTTTATAAACATATCAGATTTTTTCAAGCCAGATACCCTATTTTTTAAAATTATGCTAAGCCATATTTTTCAGAAGAAAAATTATTCACATTTCATAACAGAATTTTTAATGTACGCTTCAGTTTCACATTTACTTTAAATATAAAAAAAGCTTTATGAAAATAAAATATTAATTTTCAAATTTATTTATTTTCACCTACGTAGACAGCAGTGTTTTCACTACAGCGCGAGAACGCGAGAATCTCGCATATTTTTTTATATTCTCGCATTAAAAAATGATTACCGCGAGAAATTCGCGCATTCTATAAACCAATTTCAAAATTCGCGAATTTCTCGCATTTTGAAAAAAATTTCTCATTTGCGCCATTTAGAATAAAATCCGTTTCACTTTTCTTCCTGGATCTTTTATTATTTTCAACATCTGCCCCATTATCTAGCTTCCCTATTTACCAGTATTGTTCAGAACCTTTAAGAACAACAGAACACCATCCTTCAGAACCATGGAACCTCTTTCAGAACGCATTTCTCTGCAACCACGTGTTTACCGTAGGTAAGGTTTCTTCATGTAAGACGTTAAAAGTTTTTGCTCGTTAATGTAAGATGGACAAATACCTTGTAAAGCCAATATCTTCTACTCCGAAACGGACAAATGAAAATGAAACAAATGTGGGTAGAAGCGATCAAAACGAAACAAATACGCATTTGAGCAACCTAATGAGAATAGCTGATGAAAAAGTAGATGTAGAACATTTTCCATAGGATGATGCAGCAAAAATATTCAATGCTTTAAAAATTAGAAGATGTTAAAAATGCATCATAATTAAAGAAATTTTATTTTTTTTCAAGTCTCTTTACGTGTTTTTTTTTTAAATTTTTGAAATCTCACTTAACTTTTTGAAATCTCACCCTGTTTTTGAGAAAGGGTGAGAAATTCTCACCCATTTTTTTTCTGAGATGAAAACACTGGACAGCAATTTTTTTAATTTTAACTCCCAAACATTTTATTGCACCTGTGTGAACTTTAAAATTAGACTACAGAATAACTATCATAAATGCTTTAAAATGAATTGAAATTTCTCTTTTTTACCTGTCTGGATATTAATCAAGTAGTGGAATTTTTAAATCGCGTAAAAATGAATAGCGATTTGTAGACCGAATATATAATACGAGCATAGCTCGCAAATTATTTCGCAAATCATGATTTGTTAGTCACCTACATAGGAATTGCGATTGGTAGTACAAAATCGTTAAGTGTGACATTCGTAAATCATGTTCTTGAAAACCAAATCTCTTAAATGTGAATGATTTCGGATTCGTAATTTATGTAATGATCGTTCGTTGCGTGATATGTTTTGAAATTAAACTCGAGAAAGAGAAAAAAATCACTTAATTACATTATAAGAAAACCATTTCGTAACTCATGTAATGATTGTTCGTTGCGTGATATGTTCCAAAATTAAACTCGAGAAAGAGGAAAAAAATCCCTTAATTACATTAACTTAATAAAAAAAACTTTTAAAAGAAAAATATAAACAGAAGAACTTACCGTTAAAACGAAAATCACTTTATTGAATCCGCAAGACAACGCTATATCTTATTCCAAAACTCTCACACATATTTCCTTCACTTGCTGACGATTCCCTTTTACTTGTTCTTGGAGCAGCTGGGTTGAGGATTTCAAACGGATGATTGGTTAAAGAATTTTTAGGTGTGGTTTAATGATTGACATAGACTAGCGCAAATCGGGAGTGCGGACGTTGAGAAAGGATTATGAGGGAAAATTAGGGAAAAAAAGAAAATATAGGAGAAATAGCAATTTTTCAGATAAATAGGAAATATAGGAGAGCTGTGAGGCCCGCTGGTAAAAAAGATTGATTAGTGAATTGTAATAGACAAAACTATTACAAAAAAACACATGAAATTCATCCGCCTACTTAATTAGAAACTTAGCTAAATGAGTTTATCTTTGAATTTTATGAACTAAAAGATTATGAACTCATTTATTAACATAAATTTTTTCAATAATTTCTGGAGTTCTTTTTTAATAATATAATCAAACATAGATTCAGAAAAGTTAAAATCTCTATAATTATACTTGTGTAAGTTATAATTTAAATAATTGTTATATCATGGGTGCCACTCTAAATAAATTTTAAGAATGAATTTATATTTTGACCAATTAACACGATCTAACGTTGTTTACTGGAATTTTCAGAAATTTATAGATGACTGACTAGAAAATGTATCTTTCAATTATTATAGCACAAATATTAAATGAAGAATTTGATTATTTTTTTAAAATCGTTTTCTTCATTTCATTAATTTTTTTTCCACAGTAATCGAGACAAAATTAACAGCCTCTTTTTGCACCATTCGTTGAATAATAAACTTCTGATTTTTTCATGAAGCTATTCATTTTTTGCTCCACCATTGTTTTTTGTTTTTATCCAATTTTTTTTAAAAAAGAAAAAAAAAACCCTTCTTTTAACTTTAATTAGCATTTTAAAACATTAAGTTAAAATGAAAATTGAAGCAAATTTAGACAACAATAGTACAGTACAGAACCCGTTATCCAGAAATCGGAAAACCAATAAACCGGAACGAAATTCAATAAATTTTCCCGCCATTTTAAGAAAAATATTTATTTTCCTCATAAGACTTTAGGATTTTTCTTTCTTTTTTGAAAGTTGTTTATCTTACCATCATTATGGAAATAATCATTAGTGTATTACTTCATCGTTTTTTCATCTTTTTAAGATTATTTCCAAATTTTTATTTTTTTTTAGTTGGGGTTAACAATAAAAAAACGGCTTTTTGTAGCGATTCAGAAATCCGGAAAAATCAGTTATCCGGAATAGCGATGGTCCCGATCTTTCCGGATAATCGGTTCCCTACTGTACAAATTTTCTGTAAACAAGCATTGTTTATAGACCCTCCTTTTCTGCTCAAACGTTTTTGAATACTTGTGTAATCGAAGCAGTAATCCCATTTTTTTCATTTCCATGTGACATTATTACTTGATCATTTTGCAATAAGTATAAAAAATTAAAGTTTTCACTAAAAAGTTTTTTTTTAATTTTAACAGAAAATATTTACTAAATTCATAAAGAAAAAAGGACATTTTAATTTAAAAATAAATGGAAAAGAAATATTAATTGAAGAAATTTAGTCTACTGATTTTTTTTAAGACTGATTTCAGTCCAGAGGACTGAAGAGAGGTACTCTTGATAATACTCACTTGAATAATAATTTTAATTACATAAGATCCTTCTTTTCTTATTTTTTACCTTTAAACCTATAGAACCTAACTTTTAACTAACTGAAGTCTCTGCTCGATCAAATTTTTCTGACTTTGTCTTTTTCTCACTTCAGAATTTTTTTTTACTCTGATACCACAGCCTAGATTGACATAAAACACAGTAAAGTAAGAATCAGTTACTTGTCATGAGATAATGACGTGACCTTCTAATATCTTCAGTTTGTTAGAATTATTTTTATCTGAAAAATATGAACTATTATTTTTAATTTCTCTTTTTCTGAGACTGACTTTAATTGGGGCCCGTGCTGAGCACCTGCCACTTCGCTAAATGCAATGATCGCATCTGCGAAAAATTTAGGATTGGAGAAAGCATGGGTAGATTTTTTTAAACCGAAAAAGAAAAATATGCCGCATACCCAATTAGAATTACATTCAATTTAGATAATGTAAGCATAAGTAACAAGAGATTACATAAGCATGAGACAAAATACAGATTAATACATTGGTTGCCGAATCGCGAGATATCACGTGAACAAAATTCTTTCCTAAAGTTTGAGACAATAAAACAGATTAAGTGATAGCAAAATGCATATTATCATCCAACTAAAAAGATCTAAGAAGTTATAAGAAATTAAACCCAACCTAATCCTATTAATTTTCCATTCTGTTCCCAAATTGCAAAATGACTCTTGATTTGAATTTGCATGTTATAAAATTCAATTTACAGTAAATTTATATTTTGATTTGATTTCTTTTCAGGAAAAATCAATCACATGGCTAAAATTTTCATAAATGGCTAATAATTTGAAGTCCTTAGCAGGGGTACTGCTTCATAATCCTTATCATATTTTATTTTCTCACTATAATATTTTTTCTTAGAAACCAAAGTCAATTTGTGAGTTTTTAGTAGGACCTATAAAATTTTCAAAAATTACTTACCCATCATAAGCTCCACTAACAATACGTTTATTATCGAAACGTATGCACCGCACTAGTTCTTCATGACCTTCTAGAGTTCTTAAGCACGCACCACATTCAATATCCCATAACCTATAAATTGGCGATAAAAAAACAATTGTTTTTTTAAAACAAATTTTCAAAATTTTTTAATAACGCACTGTACAGATATATCAAGAGTGACACTCAAATCTAGAAGAAAATAAATCTCAGTGTTTTTCCTGTACACATAATACACAATATATTAAGAGGAAACACACAATCACTGTGCTCTTGTGTGTTAGCTATATTGGGCTAGTTTTATTTAATTGCTAAAAAAAAAACTTGAAATAAGATACAGTTCGACATACTTAAAACAAATGATGCTATAGTAAATTAAATAGTTTAGAATAGTTAAAATATCCTAAGAGATCCCATGGATTGTGCTTTAAGTGGAAATCATTTTTTGAAAGAGGACAATAAGTAATAAATTTCTCTATATTTTCCCAGTTTGTAAAGAAAAACTCAAATTTCCCTGTTACTTTAAGGGGGTATGGAACCAATCAAAGTACAGCGCTGCGATCAGCAACGCATATATAAGACAACGAGTGCCAGGTTATACAGATTTAAGTGAGTTTGAATGTGGTGTTATAGTCGGCGCACGGGAGATGGGATATAGCATCTCTGAGATAGCAATGAAATTTGGATTTTCACGTACTACCATGACCATTTCACGATTATACCGTGAGTATCGGAAATCCACCAAAATTCCCAGACATGAACATTATTGAACATATTTGGGATGCCTTGCAATGTGATGTTCAGAAGATATCCCCATCCCCTCTTACTGCCACTGGTTTATGGACAGCCCTGCAGGATTCATGGTGTCAATTATCTCCAGCACTACTTCACATATTGATCGAATCCATGCCACGTCGTACATTGGACTGCTAACGGCAACACAGGAACGACCACAACCGCAAACTTAATACACCTTTCACGATCAGCACTCAAAATTACGTTGCTCTTAATACAGCTCTCCCAGCTTCTCACAAAACTGCAATTAATAAACTGGTATTTGCTGATCGAATTCTATCAGAGATATAATTCTGGTGAGGGAGTGTTGTAGTGCATCTACCACTACAAAAATACAATTCTAATTCACTAGTATATAAGATATGTTAACTCGATTCTATGTTGGGGTACCTTTTAAAGGTTGACACTGTCGAAAACTAATTCCACACAATTCACAATGGGATAGGAAAGCAGTCATAACAGAGATTATGATGGAAAAAATAGACAAGAATTAGCCCTCATTCAAAAACAGATGTTCATTATTGTTAAGAATATTCAGAGCAGCTGTGCAAAAACAATAAATGTTTTAACACACAATGATAACAAATTTTTTTAAAAGAAAATAAGAATGCAGAAAGGTAAACACTTTATTTGCTTGTTCAATTGCGAATTAAATGCGAACACCCATAAAATAACTGAGAAGATCAATGTCTGCATTCACTACGAAGCTATTGTTATAGAACTACTCTAACTATTCTCTTTGCGAAACTATCATTACGAAACTATCGCCAACATACTGTCTATAATAAGGAAACTTAAATAAGTCCAAGAGTTTTACTTCAAAATAGTGCTTATATAGGTCGCTTAAGAATAGCTAAGCCACCAATCTTGTAATCACTGTGCTCTAGTACGAGCTGTATTGGGCTAACTATACTAGATATAATTGTAGAAAAAACTTAAAGAAAAGAGGAACAACTGAACATACTTATAATCACGAAATTAGGTGTGGTTGGAGTTGTATAATTGGCAAATTGAAGATTGTGATGAAAACAGGATAATGAAAATGACAGTTGAAGATAAAAACTGGATCATAGTTATAACAAAACTTTTATTCAGTATTTGTAGAGCTCGAAATACAAAATAATATTTTATCCATAATAAGACTTTCTAAGTTGAATAATAAATTTAGTATAATAATATTAATAAGGACAGGCCATGGTAGACAAATCCACCATTACCAGACTAAACAAAAGCGAATTTAAAAAGTGATTGAATTGTTCCCAACAGACAGTTATCTTATTTCAGTTCATTTCAAAAATAAGTAAAAACACAATTGATAAAAGACAAACAGATAACAATATGAAATAAACTTGATTTTACGATGTGCGGCGAACCTATCACCACAGGAGTATGGGAAGAGATTGACGGTTGGCTATTTATGGACAGATAACATCGCCAAAATTTAAGTCAATCCCCTAAAATCAAGGAGGATCCCCTAAAATCAGGAAGCATACTTAAAAGGCAGTCATACAAGTAACTGTCTATCACTTTATGAAAATAAATTTTAAATAATTCTACTTATTTAATCAATATTCATTTAAAAAAACTAGACAATTTTGATTTTCTGAAAAACAATTGCTCACATATGTTAAGTTAAAACTTACTAACATACTCTATCTAGCCAAAAGTATCCAGACTTGGGGTGTCCTGAGGCACATATTAATATGATGTTGGTTCCTTTTTTGCATCAATGACAGCCTGCACATGTCTGGGAAGACTTTCATCACAGCAGAAGAGTACTTGCAGTGAGGATGGTCAGTTTGGTTGGCTACCAGGGCCCGACTTAGCCTAATTGGGTCCCCCCTCTGCTTCACTACATCAGTAATGAAGAAGCAAACTTTAAGGAGGTATTTTAATTTTTCATCTCATTGAAGATATATAACAAGAAAATTTACTCAAACCTAAAATAGCTTTGATCATCAGGCGAAATATCATACTGTTAATTTGATTGATTTTCTGATAATTCCATGTCCATCATGCGAAGGCAGTGTCAGAAATGCAGTTTTCGGATTGTTAACTTTGTCATCTAGCTGTGAAAAATTCATATCCTTGCTGACATTAGGGAGGAATTCAGTTAAATTTTCACAGCAACAATAGCTCAATTATACCAATCAGAAGCCAGTATTTTTGTAAACATATAACTTTTTGCGATATGTAAAAATACAGGCTTTTAACTGGCCAAAGTTTTTCATCGTAATTGCAAAAACTTAGCTGAATTCTGCCCTAGAAAGCCATGGATTTTTGAAATATAGATTTTTAGTGTTCATATGATAGATTACTGAAGAAGTTAACATAAAACTGACGGATTTTACACTGTACTGATATTTTGTTTAAATAAAGTTCAATAAAGAAGGAAAAACAAAATAAACTTTCTATTTGATTTGGGGGCCCCCTCTGATGCGTCAGACAAATAAAGGTTAAAAGGGTATAAGGTTTGATCCTTGTAAGTGGTTTAAGATGATGATCTCGTGCATTCAACTAACATCGGTAACGTCATGGTCTGCGTGGATCAGCCAGTTTCTCTTCATATGCTGTTGGTCATCTGTTTAAAGAGTATTTAAGCTTCTGTTGATTCATTCTTTTCATTCGTCACTCTGTTCTGTGTCTGTGATTTGTTCTTGGAATCTTGGAGTTATAATTGTTTCATCATGGAATTCTTCGAACCTGTATATAGAGTACCTGAACTTGTCAAATTGGAGTACATGGAAAGGAAATATCAAAGTAATCCTCATGCACCGAGGAGAGTGGAGTTATATATCCAAAACTGAGCCTGCCCAACCTTCAGACAAAAGCCGAAAAAAAGTCAAGGGTCCCTCTGGAGACGAAACAGAGCGTACACATCGATATTTCTTAGTGTCGAATCCGAATACTGAAGTCTGATCTCAGCGACAACTGATGGTGCTGAAGCTTGGGAAATTCTAAAGCAACATTTTGAATTGACTACAAGAGCATGAGTGATTCAACTCCTAAACCAATTCTTCTACCTAAAATACACCCCAGGAGAAGAAATTTGAATCTTTGCGGCTAGATTAAAAAAAAAAGGTTTCTCAACTGAAAGAAGCAGTACATCCTGTTGACAACCGATATCAAGGATTTCAACTAATAAGATAATTACCCAAGGACTTTTAAGGTATTGTTTAAATTATTTATAGATGGGAGGACCCTAAATTTAAATTTAAGAACATTTTAGATTAATTACTTTTAGAGGAAAGTAGACTTCTGCAACTAAACTTTGATTTAAATAATGTTAGTGATATTGCTTATAATGTTAATTCAAGTTTTAATGAAAAGTTAAGCGTAACTAATAAGTTTAAATCTGGTTCTTCTAATGGTAAGGGAAATTTAAAATCTGCTAATATTAAGTCTAAATCCAAAACCAGTTATGATAGATAGATCTAAGATAGGATCTTGTTATCATTGCAACAAATATGGTAATTTAATTTGAGATTGTAAACAAAAATTTAATTGTAAGTCAAAGAATATAAAGAGTAAATTTTAAAAAAAATCCAAGAGATAATTCTTACTGTAATGTAACTACAAATGTTTTAGATAATAGTCTTTATGGTGTTGAAGCAAATGTTGGCAATGTGTGTCATGAAATCGAGAAAGAAACTTTGCTTTTTTACACTGTCACTTCAACACATTTTTTGTAAGAACTTGAATTTATTCTTTGAATATGAAACTATAGAAAATGCTATAGGTGACATTGAAAGCCAAATTTTAGGTATTGGAAAAGTGCAATTTTTTAATAAGGTAAATGGTAAAATGCACAAAGGAACCTTTACATATGGACGTATGTGGTCTGATGCCCATCATTTCACATGGTGGAAGTCGGTATTTTCTTTCTATCACTGATGATTTCTGAAGGAAAGTTACTACTTTTCCCATTAAAAAAAATCTGATGTTTTTAATAGTTTCATAAGATTCAAAAGCGAGATGAAAGATTTTTAAACTGCAAAATTTTAAATGTTAGAACTGATAATGGCATAGAATTTTGCCTTAAAGAGTTTGGTGATTTTCTTGAAAATGAAGGTATAAAAGCTGAACATACTAACACTTATACGCCAGAACAGAATGGTGTTAGAACTGCCTTACACAATATTAAAGCAATGTTAAAATCTTGTAAATTAGGAGATGCTTTTTGGGCTGAAGCTTTACTTACACTTTCAATAGAATTATTCATAAAAACCAAATTAAAGCTCCCTTTAAATTGCATAGTGGAAGAAAACCATCAGTCACTCATTTGAAAGCATTTGGAT